TCTGAAAGATAAAGATATCATCGCCCCAAATGCAATGATATTTCGATGTATTAAAGATCTCCATATATCTCGACGTGATGTTTGGCTTAAGAAACGCAGACGTGAACGTGACCGAAGATCCGAAGAAAAAATGCGGGCCGTAGAACCAGCTGAACCAAGATTAGATGGTTATGTTCCATATAGGATGAAACCATAATCAAAAAAAAAGCTTCTTCTGTTACTCATGCATTGTCTATTTGTACTGTCCATTGAAAAAAAAGTACATATATAAATGAAATAAAAAAATTAAAATAAAAAATAAATACTTGATATTTTTCTGAAAGGACCAGAAGTTTGGGTTCCATTAAGTCTGATCACAACTTTCTGACCATCATCTGAGGTAGAGAGTCTAGAAAAACAATTACTTTCTTTCTCCATTACTAACGAACAAAGTTTTTTTAAATATCACCGAGTACAATAATTTTTAAAAAATTGAATTCTTCGGATACGGGTTCTATTTATACTAATTTGAGTTGTTTACCACCGAATTTATCAATTCATTATTTCGGGAATTTACCTCCAGTATGGCATTGCCGATTATTACTACAAATGGACAAATGGATTAATCATCTTTGAAACACATACGTATACGTATGTATGTACTACGTCAAGAATCTTTGTTTTGACGTACGTACGTACCTGGTACGTACATACTGATACGCACGTACGTGCAATTTACTATAACTGATAATATAAAGATAACTGATATACATATGTCGTTATGATGTAAAGTTAATTTGACATAATAATCGGAGTGTTTTAGGGTATTGTTAATACATGTAATAAAGGAACTCATTCAGTGATGGGACTATTGATGGGTCTACGGATGGGACTACGGATGGACTACGAGGTGATACTTAATTGTCACATTTAATAATTTATTAAGAATCAAAGTTATTTAATAGATCACGTCGTACATCACTAAACGTTGTAGTATGAGTTCGTTATATGGGGTGTTATCTATTAAAACAGCCCTTTTTTACATAAATTTTATTTTGAGATAATTGAGTTTAATCATTT